CTTCGGCACCTCCGCGGCGGCGTCCTGCCTCCGCGATCGCCGCTCTGCGGCCTGAAGGGCGCTGAGCACCCCGGCGTGTTACCGTGTCCGCCAGCGCTCCTTTTATTTGCCCTGTCAACAGCCTCGTGTGTCCGGGCCAACACCAAGCAGGGGGACGGGACCGGTGCTTATCGGGTTTACGCTGGCGGTGTGCCAGGCACGGGAGGGGGGTACCTGTTACCTAGCCAGGCGGAGCGTGCAGAGGTGCTTGTGCTTCCTCCACCAACGAGCAGAACAGCTCCTTGCCGAGTCCATCACAGGTTTGTTTTTGTCAGCGCTACAAGCAGTATGCAGCTCGAGTCACTGGAGTAAGACAGAAAGATAGATCTGCGTCATGCGTTTGGCTCCTGGAATGCACTCTGGGTCCCCCAGGGCATATCGAAAACACTGGAGCATTTTGGTACTCCACAGTAACAGCAGCAAAACTGAACTGATGTATCTGGAGCAAAACTTCTCCAAAGGGTATCTTGACTGATCAGGGCACGGACTGCAAATAACTTGGAATGGAAGTATATTTCTGGAACTGGAGATTGCCCTATTCCCGTCCTCTTCCTTCCCATTTTCTTTTCAGCAAACCAGCACAGTACCTACTTCACGATAAGAGACTGAAGGCGGTGGAAGGCAGTAGGGAAATTCATTCCACCCTGATGCTTAATGAGATAAACTTGATTTGTTGATACCCTTGGGTCCTTACTATTCCTCCAAAATTGTTTAAGATTTTTAACCATCTAGCTGTGAAATAATGAGGGAGAGGACAGTTTTTGTACTCAGGGTTGATAATTTCCGTAGAGTTATAAGTGTCTTAACGCAATCACGTTTGCTCCAGCAGGTTAAATTTAAAGGTGACATTTCTCCATGTTTTCACTACTGAAAATTGTGCTGGTAGTTTCAATATTACATGAGAGTGGTACATGCACAAAGAATCAGTAACAGGGCTTGTGTATCACACTCTTGCACATTTGAGTCCTGTACCAGAAGGTTTACTGCGAGGGGTCAAGAATATTCTGCATTATGAAACATTTAGGTTCTTCCTATCCTGCCTTCTCAGCTCCCCAGGCCCTTTGGTACAGGGTGTTCTCACCAAAATCATTCCTGGACATGAAGGATCTAATTTGTCCTTAGCCAAACGCTACTGAAGAAAACTGAGTTATAGGGGAGGCATATTTATCACATGAAATCTCTCACCACCAGCATCTGAGCTAAACAATTATATTGTTAATAACAACTTAGAGTCTTGCACATAACAACTCAATATACAGAACTGAGCATGGATGTTTTTCCTCCCAGCCTACAAATTACCGTTAGGCCTTTTGCATGGTGTTTCTATAATTTTGTATGATCAGACCTTTTCCTTTCTTTGCTACCCCTTCCCACTGCTGCCACTGATTTGGACAGGGATTTACCAGCTATGACTCCCTCTGACACGTCCTGTAAAAAAAAGTTCAGATGTTTCAGCTTCTACATAGGCCACCGATCAAAAATATTTTTGATTGTGTTATCAGTGGAAACTCTGCTGCCACCTTTTCAAATGCTGGCTACTGCTGGTAATACATGACAACACTTTTATCCTCAGAGATGACTTCAAAATTATGGCTTGCAATGATATCTCCATTGCACTCAGGGATGTTACATACTGTCATGCTCTAAAAAGAGATTGCTGTTGTGATGCAGCAGTGCTGTTAATTTTCCTGCTTATTTTGCACCTGCTTCTTTAAAAAGTTGTGTTCTGCGAGGTAACAAATGACATGCACATGTGTGACAGCTTCTTCCGACCAACACCAAGGACTCAGCTCCGGGAAACCACTAGAGTTAAAATCATGAGCTTCTATAGCTTAAAATGAAGGCCAAATTTACTGAAGCTGCGAAACGCAAACCAGGTACACAGCGCAATAGATAGGACAATGCAGAGCAGATAGCACATGCCAGGGTTGGGTGCAGCCTATTGGTGACAGGAATCAGTTTCCCTCCATCATAGTGACACAGGACATAGCAGAAATGAAGAGGTCACAGCTCCCTTGGCCTCCCTACTAAATCTGCCCTTAAATGCATTTAGGCACGTGGTCTGATAGAGCAACTCATTCCTTTACCTTCCTATCATCACGTAGAACCTTTTTCTCTTGTCATTTGTAACCATTTGCCGCTGTCTGATAGATTTTAGTTTTTAAAATACACAGCAACCTCTAAGTCCTGATGCAACTGGGAGTAACATAATAGTTTCCAAGACATAATTTAACAGGCAATAAAGATGGGCCACTTGTTCTTTCAAGAACATATGCATAGAGCCCAATGACTTCAGTAAAGGCCACTTACATGTTTCTGAAGAGCAGGTTTCATCTCCGTCATTAACCAAAACTGAAACAAAGATAAAAAGCATTGGGTTATGGCATATTTTCATAGCGGTAAGGGTGCAAGCCGTGCAAGTTAGTCATTTATTAGATGCATATTAAACACACGTGACAGTAACAAGTAATCATTGAACATGAACATAAACCCGTCTTATACACCGGGCCACCTTGCAGCTAAAGAACAAGTGCTGAGATCAGTGTCCATGGGCTCAGTCGCTGACTCTACCATTCACTCGCTGAGTCACGCTAATACCCGTGCCTCTCACTTTCTGCCATTGTGAGGATGACGATGAACATTTACCAGAAAAGCTGAAGGAGCTTCAGCCCCTCCTTTAACACTAATCACTACTTCCCTCCCACCTCACTGGCACTTTGAATGCCATTAGTGCAGTCCTATGGCAGGCTCTGGCAACAGGCTCTAGGGTGCTGCCCCTGGCCTGGGGGGGTCAGGGATGGTTAGGTGCTTGCAGGGCCACGTGCATCTCCCCAGCTGCACCCCATGCTCACTGTGCCACCCCCACCCCATGAGTCAGCCCGGAGGGGGAACATGCCTGTTGCAGGCAAAGGTGGGTGGGGGTGCTCCTGCGTGCCCTGACGTGGTCACAGCTGTGCTTGGGTTCACATCAAGGCTGCATCTGTCCCCGTAATACGCTGACTCAATATGACACATCCTGGTCAACGGAAAGGCCTAAAATGAAGAAGTCTAAACTATTTCCTTCAGTGCGTCTCCCCTGAAAATGTTGTCAAAAAGCAACACGTTTCTGTGAATTGTTTCGATTTTCGACAAACTTGCACTTTCAGTTGAGTATTTCGCAATCAGCTTTACTCAGAGCCTCCAAGAAGCAAGCCCAGCTTTGTATCGCCAACACACCAGGTCATTAGTTCTGTATTTAACTGGCCGCAAGAACAGCCCCCTTCGCTGTTCTGATTTACATGTCTGGTGGATGCAGAAGAGTTAATTATTAATATGTAGGATTACCACTAGGTCATGCCTAATTTTTTGTCTTCATATTTTACTTTTAAGCACCTTTCTCTTTCCCCTTTGCATCCATCCTCGCTGGTCAACCCTGCCACAATGTAAAGGGCCACTGATGCTTCCCACACTTGCTATCTGGCAGTCTGGAGAACTGCAACTGTGATGGAAAGCAATTCTGAACAGAAACGGACAGATGGGAAGGGCATATCAGATCTAATTGGAAAAGCATACACACATATGCTTAGAGCAGGCAAGGAGGTGATAAACCCCACCTATCTGTGGTAAGTAAAGACTAAATTACAAAGACAGAGGTAGAGAGAGAGAGAAAGGAAGGAAGGAAAAAAAACCCAGACACCAAACTATCCATAAAGTTTGGTCCCCATCCTGCCAGCAGCTTTAGGAGCGCTTGCCTTCCATCTCTGCCAGAAATGTGCTGCACCTTCTGCCTCACTGTTAATATTTTTCATTTTAGAAAAATTAACAACAATAATAATAATAAAAAAAACCCTCTGTGGCTTTCTCAACCCAGCTTCAAGCAATGGGATCCAGACAAACTGCTGGAGGGAAGGAAGGCTTTTGGATTCTGCGTTTTATTTTATTAGGTGTAAGTGAGTTATTTTGATTACGTTGGCAAGAAATGGGAAAAAGAACCTTATTGCAGCAGCTCCATCCCTTCGACCCACTTCTCCACGCACACATGCGCTCCCAGCACCCACTGCCACATTATTTGGCCAGAAAAGGCTCGCAGAGGCAAGCCTACACTGATGTCTCTGCATTTTGCAACCTTTCACTGCTCAGATGGGAGAGAGAAAAGCTTTAACTTGAGTTTTCTCTCTCTCTCTTTTTTTTTTTTTTTTTAATTGAAGCATGGAGGTAGGAAAAGGGAGGGAAGGAGCAGCAAAATGTGCAAAACCCCCAAGTTTTTTTTCTCCCCAGCTTTCAGCATCACACTCAGGGGATTTCCTATGAATGAATGGCATTCTTTTCAAGCTAACTTGAAGCTCCATGTGTGTGGCGACAACGTGGCTATGCTGCGCTGTGGTAAAAATGACGGGCAGCATCTGCCAGCCACAGGGCCGCAGGGAAATCAGTGCTCCTTCCTGACATCTCATACCTGCTGCTGGGCAGGCAACAGGGAGTTAGGAATCCTGGGGTTTATTCTTCCATCTGTCACTAACTTTTTGCATGCACCTCAGGTGAGTCATTTAGCTTTTCTGCTCCTCAGTTTCCTGATCTGCAAAATATTTAGCAAGGATGTAGCCTGCTGGGTCTTTACAGCAACCACTGTATTTTACACTACGGCCAATCAGAGCTATATGGAGACATCAGGCTTGGATATGCCTGTTTCACAAATAAAAAAAAAAAAAAAAAAAAAAAGAAGTTTGTGCTCTGCCAGCACTGCCTGTGTAAGGAGTGGGTAGGAAATGCCCTAGGATTAGAAGAGCAATGTTAGGACAATTCATAATGTTTTAAATTCTTCAAGGCTGATTTTTTTTCACTGAGTACAGGTCTCGGAGTGTGGCCAAAGGAAGGACAGTACATTTTGCATGTCTCTGATTCTGAGTGAATACGCTCAGAATACCAATGGGAAATAGGAGAAGCAGATTCAAGGCCACTGTAAATTGCAATAACAGTAATAGTGCTCCCGCTGCCTGCATAGCAAGATAATAGTGTCATCTTCCTGGGCATACTCTCTATATGAGGGATGTCTATGTGGATTAGAATGGCACCACACTCTTCACCTACCAGAGAAAACAAGAAAATCTGAAATCTGCTGTCTTTACATTGCAAGGAAGGATCCAGTGCACACAGCAGAGTTCAAGTCACTGAAAGCCTAATTTTGCAAAGACCTCAAAGATCTGAATAGTTGGTCTGATTGCCTGTATGCAAGGGCGATTTGGGAGGGTGTGTGTGTATACATACATTAGCTATATATGTATATGTGTGTGTATGTATATACATATACACACACACACAGAGAATAGGCAGTTATTAAAATGAATGTAAAAACCAAGACCAGAGGCAAATGTCCAGCCGTGGATCCCTCCTGGCCAAGCCAGATGCCAGCAACATTAAACAAAAGAAGTTAAAAGTGTGTGGTTTTTTTTTTTTTTTAATGTCCCCAGTCCAAAGAGGAAAAAGAGCAAGGGAAGGTGGGAGCTCTGGTGATAATCAGATGTAGTTTATTTTTAGCCTCAATTTTCTGTGCTCTTTCCTAATGTGGGATTAGAAGTGTTTACTACTTACAGGCTCGAGGCAGTCCTAGGTCCCTTTCTTCCCTGCGCTTTGTAACTGTGGAGTCATCCTCTATGCAGATCTCACATCTACAGGACTTATCTCCTATGCCCAATGGTGGCGGAGGCAGCAGGGAAGAAGGAAAAGAAGCTAGCCTTTCTCCAAAGTGAAGCCAATACAAATAAAATTCCAGACAAGAATTTATCAGCATTTGCATCCCTTCTTGGTGTCACAGGGTCAACTTAGTTAGCTTTAATACTTTGCAGAGAGCAAGGAGCACTGTGTACCACCACTTTCCCTCCCTGCCAGAGAATGTTTGTCCTCAGCACAAACTTTGGGAGAGGAGCACAAAACTCGAGCCTGGAATAGGCACGGAAAAGCACAGCTTGGAGAGAAGGCTTCTTCCCACAGAATCCTCCACTGGCTCCCAGATACCCATTAACCAAAAACCTGTCCCCACTCTTATTCAAATTAATAAGAGAAGATTGTTAAAGGCAAACTTACATCTCACAAGAGACCTGAAACTCCCTGCAGAGCAAGGAGAGAAAGGTTGGCCACCTTCCTTGGCCACCTGCAGCGGAGGCCAAGGAGGGAGCACCGAGCCTTAGGAACAGCCTAATTCTGCCTGTGGGATGTGTGCATTCCCTGTGGTCAAGGGCAGGGAGCTAGCTGAGCATGCAGCTCGAGAGGGGGGCAAGGCTAGCACCAAAAGGAAAAAGCAGAGGCCAGTGCAGGAACACTGAGCCTCTGAATGGGTGTATGGAGATTGCCACATGAAATGCAAATTTCTGTAGTGCAACTGGGCCTCCATCTTCTCCTGGGATGAGCCAGAAGAAAACAAGACTAAATGCTTGTTGTTTTACAGGTCCCCTGTGACATTTTCTCACAGGGAAAGGCAGAGGGGGCAAGAAATTGAAACCAGGCAGTGTCCTGGGCATGGCCCTATGGACCGGCCCTGCACGTTCAGCTTATTTGCTTTGTTTAAGGCACTGCCAAGAAGAGGCAAAAAGGAGGGAATAACAGAAGTCTGAAAATTGGGGGAGAAAAAAAAATCCCATGAAAGGGAACCCTCCTGTGCTGGGGGAAGTGGGAAGCAACAAGCAGGAAAAGTAAGGCCTCCCCAAGATGCAGGAGAGAGAGCAAGTGATGTTAGAGTGAAGCATGGATGTGAAATATGGCTCTGCAACAGCTGTTTAGCACATTAGCCTGTTGGTGTGCAGGCTCCAGTCCAAGGGCTTTCGGTCAGAACCCCAGCCCAGCAAGAGCAGACACAGATGCAGTGGGCTAGGAGTGAGCCTTCGCGAGTTGTAAACTGATGTAAACTACCCTCTTTACTTGGGGACAGCCTGGATGCACTTGCGATGGAGAAAGGGAGGGAACAGATTCTCAGATCCCCTTGCTGGATGCTGGAAAGGACAGTGAGGAGAAGGATAATAAGAGTTACAATACCTTAGGCTTCATCCAAGCCTGCCTGCTCACAAGAGGAGTTTTTATGCATTAAGATCTTCTTGGCAGGCGGTCAGGCAGCACTTTTTCTTTTCATTCAGCTCTCTTAATGGTGACAAGGTTTCCCAGGACGATGGGAAACGATACAGAGGACACCTGCACTGACTGGCTCTGATATAACACTAGAGGCTTCCACAAGAGAGTGGATAGAGGGCATCAGTTTACGCGAAGTTGACCAACATGTCCAGCACCCTCCCACAACGTAAATACCCACTCTCCCCTTTGAGCTTGCCATCTACCAAGCTTGCATATTTTTGTGCATACCTGCAGGGGCTACCAGCTAGCAAAAT